AAAAAAAAAAAAAAAAAAAAGAGTTATCGGCCGGGCATGTTGGCTCACGCCTGTAATCCCAGCACTTTGGGAGGCCGAGGAGGGTGGATCACCTGAGGTCAGCAGCTCGAGACCAGCCTGGCCAACATGGACAAACCCTGTCTCTAATAAAAATACAAAAATTAGCCAGGCATAGTGGCAGGCGCCTGTAATTGCAGCTACTTGGGAGGCTGAGGCAGGAGAATCACTTGAACCCAGGAGGCAGAGGTTGCACTGAGCTGAGATCGTGCCATTGCACTCCGGCCTGGGAATAAGAGCAAAACTCTGTCCCAAAAAGTAAAAACTTAAAAAATTTAAAGAAGAGTTATTAACAAGTTTGGGGAGTTAGGAATAAACACATGAAGCATTAGCATAATGGAATCAACCTCAGTATCTATCAATGGCTGAATGGATAAAGAAAATGTATATATATACAATGGAATACCAGTCAGCCTTAAAAAGAAGGAAATCCTGTCATTTATGACAACATGGATTAATTTGAAGGATACTATGTTAAGTGAAATAAGCCAGGTACACAAATACCATATAATCTCACCTATATGTGGAATCAAAAAAAAAAAAGTCAAACTCATAGAAACAGAGCAAAATTGTGGTTACCAGAGGCTGGAGGGATTGGGAAGAAGTTGGTCAAAGCATCAACACAAAATTTCAGTTACGCAGAAGAAATACATTCAAAAGATGTACTATACATCATGGTGACTACAGTTAATTACAATATATTGTACACTTGAAAATTGCTAAGAGAGTATATTTTAAGTGTTCTCAACACAAAAAAAATAAGTATGTGAAGTAATGGGTATTTGCTTGATTTAGCCATTCCATAATGTATACATATATCAAAACGTCATGTTGAACACCATAAATAGATGTAATTTTTACTTGTCGATTAAAAACATATATTGAAAAAGAGCATATAATGGTGATGATTGCATAGCACTCTGAATGAAATTAGAGTCACTGAACTGTATGTATTTAATGCTACTTAAAAATGGTTAAAATGGCAAATTCTGTATTATACATATTTTACCACAACAAAAAAATACATGAATGGGGAAAAGAGTTAGTGTATTTTGCAATTACGCACCCTTTGTATATATTCAAAATTTTTTTGGCACTCAGATAATTCACTCAGATAATTGTGTAAGACTAAAATACATCAATTAAAAGCCTTTACCTAAGTTTCCATTTCAAAGATTAACCATACAACAGAAATTCTAAAGTCAAAAGTTCAAACAGCTAACATATGCAAAATATTTGAGGCATAATGCCTAAAAGCATTTTAAGGTTACGCAGTCTCACAACTGTATTACCATTACCTCCCTGAGGTTCTTATTCAACTATCATGCGACAAGAACATTTAAAAACCCAGGTTGTTTCTTAAAATTAAATGAAAAACCAATTTATCTAATGAACATAGATAATTTAGGAGTTTAAATATCACTAAACATTTTTAAATCATTATAATTCAACTAACCTTCTTTTTTCTCATTAATCTTTCTCTGAATTTATGAGTGATAAATCCCCTTGGGCCAGTGAACCGTAAACGCTGATACTTAGCCTGAATGTACAAGCTCTTCTGTACCAGGCCTGATTTATAATTGGGCTGGCATCTGCCACCTCTAAAGTTGCTCTGTGAAGGAAAAAAAGGAATTAAATGTTAAAACTACACCTTCCAAGTCTACTTTATTAGTAAACAGATGAGTGGGTGGCTGGGTGCGGTAGCTCACGCCTGTAATGCCAGCACTTTGGGAGACCGAGGCGGAACTCCTCAAGCTGATCGCTTGAGGTCAGGAGTTCGAGACCAGCCTGGCATGGTGAAACCCCGTCTCTACTAAAAATACAAAAATTAGCCAGGTGTGGTGGCAGGCGCCTGTCATCCTAGCTACTCAGGAGGGTAAGGCAGGAGAATTGCTTGAACCTGGGAGGCGGAGGTTGTAGCGAGTCACTGCTCTCTATGCTTGAAAAGCACGAAAGAGCGCCACTGCACTCCAGCCTGGGTGGCAGAGTAAGACCCTGTCTTAAACAAAACAAAACAAAAAACAGATGAAAAACTGTCTGATACTTGGAGCTGTCTGGATTCTAGGCCTTATAGATATTAAAACAGAAAGAGTTAATGATGGTGACAAAGTATGTTTCTCTCAAGCTGGCTTCCTAGCTCATTTTATATATTAATATATATTTTTAATTTTTATTCTTAGCTGGACTCATGCCTGTAGTCCCAGCTTCTCAGGAGGCTGAGGTGGGAGATAGCTTGAGTCTTGGAGGTAGAGGCTGCAGTAAGCTGTGATTGTGCCACACACTCCAGCCTGGGTGACAGAGCGAGACCCTGTCTCAAAAAAACAAAACGACAACAACAAAACCTATATCAAACCAAATTTTGGAAACTGTTAAGTTAAAAGATTTTGAGGGCAGGCACAGTGGCTCACACCTACAATCCCAGCACTTTGGGAGACAGGTAGGAGGACTGCTTGAGGCCAGGAGTTCAAGACCAGCCTGGGCAACAGAGCGAGACCCTGTCTCTACAAAAAAATAAAAAAAGAAAAGAATTTGAAATTAATTCTTAAAATTCATCAAGCTAACAAAATAAAATGTTCAGAACCTCTAACGAACTAAAATTATTCTTCTGATTCATAGTGAAATATATCAAATCCCAATGAGAGGGAAAGATATAAAGTATCAATATCTATTTAAGAATCAAAAAATATTTTAACTTTATTCCTGTTAATACCTTCAAACAAATCTTTCTTTACTACAAAAGACCGATTACTTAAAAAGAACATTTCCTAACCTGCATATATTGTGCAGCACTATATTAGACATAAGAGGACAATGGATATTCGTGTGTTTCTCATGTGGTTGATAAGACAAATGGTCTCTTGTTAATTTACTGCTGCGGGTGGAAGAGGAAAACAGTCCTCAGTTTTGTCAGTCGTGAACCAACCCTCTCCAAACCTTCCCAAACAATTCTCCAAATCTCCCTCCTTCACTTTCCCATATCACACACTGCTTGTGTCTCCCCGCATTTCCAAGCATCCTCCTAGAATAATCTAAAACAGATGGGAGCAGTGGCGCAAAGGTTCATAGATGGAGTCTATCTCTGCCCTGCTAAATCTTAAAAACTTAGCTACTTGCCAACTTACTGGAAGAAGCTGCATTAAGTTCTTGACTATGAAAGGGATTTCTTCCCCAAAATCATTCAATTAAATTCTCCTATAGAAAATAAACTTGAAGCCATACGAAGAAAAACCCTGGGCTGAATGAAACTTTTAACAAGATCAGTTCAGCATAACTTGAATATTGGAAGATCTAATTCCAAGAAGTAGAGAGAAATATGGTAGAGAAAGAAAGACTTTGGTGACCCAGCGTCCTCTCTCAGGCATAGAAAACTATAAAACTGTTCTGAGCTTATTTAACAAAATTCATACCTAATATCATATGCAAGGTACAAAGACTAAACAGATCCACCTCTTTTCCTTCAGGGGCTGAAAATGAGTAGAGATGCTGGGTCTAAGCACTAGAGACGCAGCTACTCCTTCTGATTTTGCCAATAGGAGTCTACCAAGATCCAGGAAAAGGGCTCTCCATGCTTGAAATGCACAAAAGAGCATTTAATTTGAATGGCACAAGCAGGAAGTCTTATTCTTCCATTTGCCTTACCACTCAAGAGCTAAGAACTCAACCAGTGCTCATTTATTAGGCAGGTACAAGGGTCAGAATAAAAGCTATACATTCTATATCTTTAAAATAGCAGCCGTTGCATACTAAATTTATTCCCAAATGTGTTTTTTTAAAATAAAATCAGAATTTTACTCAGAAGATTGATACATAAACTTTATTATCTGCTAATTTGTTCTTATCTTCTCAATTTTCTCAAGTAAAAAGGAAAAGACAACCTAGTTACATGTAAATGTTTCATCACAAAGGTGCATGGGAAGAGTTTTGTCTTTAAATCAAATTCTTTCTTTGCTTTTAATAAAAAACATCCCTGAGTCACATTCCAACTACTACATGATCAGGGTCCAATCAAATGGGATGAAACTAATAGTGGCCCCTTTTAGAATGTTTCAGGGAAAGAGTTACTATTTGTAAATGATTAAGGCTGAAAACAGAAGCCAAAATTACAAAAGCAAACAAAAGCACATTTCGTTTATAGAAAGTTAGGGTCTGAATAAATATTTATACACCTTTACAGATATGAGTCCAGTTTTTTTTTTTGAGATAGAGTTTCCCTCTGTCACCCAGGCTGAAGTACAGTAGTGCAATCTGGGCTCACTGCAACCTCTGCCTCCTGGGTTCAAGTGATTCTCCTGCCTCAGGCTCCAGAGTACTTGGGACTATAGGTACATGCCATTGCGCCCAGCTCATTTTTGTATTTTTAGTAGAGACAGGGTTTCACTAAGTTGGCCAGGCTGATCTCGAACTCCTCACCTCAAGTGATTTGCCCGCCTCGGCCCCCCAAAGTGCTGGGATTACAGGCGTGAGCCACCATGCCCAGCCAGATATGAGTCAAGATTTCCTCAACATGAAGAGCTAAACAATAATAACTCCTAAATAAACTATTATAAGGTTGAATACACTATTAACCTCTAAAGAAGTCAATAAAATTGTTTATAAACACTACAATGGCTGCATTAAATAACAACCCTCTTTAAACACTATTTGTTTCCCTTTGATAACAAAGTTTAGATTAACCAGCAACTAAAGCAATGCCAGGAGGAAAAGAGATTAGGTCTTAGGTGAGTTGTTGTTACTCGAGCTGCTGTTGCTTTTTAACAAGAAGACAGTTATGAAGTTGTGAAAGGGGAGAACTGGTTGCAGCAAGACCCATAACATCAAAAATATTAAGCTACTAATTTAGTGAAAGCCAAAATGTATGCTAGACTGAACCATGGCTTTAAAATTATGGCCTAATATATAGACATCTAAATAGAATAAGTACAATGGCTCTGTAATAATTTTCAAAGACTTGGCCAAAGAAATAGATTTTATTCTTTTTGAAATTTAGTGTTTGGTTGATTTTATTTAACTTCCATCCTCAGAGTACTTAGTAAGAGGAAACAGATTATGAGCCATATTGGGAAAACAAATGCACAAATGATGTATTACAGTGGAATAGTTAACAAAACCAAGCAGATTCCTCTTTTCACAATTATTTCAGAAATGGGTATGTCAGACATAATGAAGCACATAATTTTACAAAAAAAAATTTATGTCAGGCCTATTTTTCAATTATTTTCTTAAGGCTACAGAAAATTTCAGGTAAAACAGAATTATAATGAGACACTAATGTTAAGATTATCTGCACAAACCTGACACATCAGAGCTAATCTTGAGACTGATGCAATCCATTTCTACATGTCCTCTAAGGTGATTACTATGTCGCTTTGAACTAGTCCAATTCATGTAAAAAGTAAATTATAGCAAAATATTTCCTTTTTTTTTTTTTTCCTTTTGGAATAGGGTCTCTTTGCTGTGTCGCCCGGGCCTGAGGGCAGTGGCACAATCTCGGCTCACTGCAACCTCTGCCTCCCAGGCTGAAGCGATCTTCCCACCCCAGCCTCCTGAGTAGCTGGGATTACAGGTGCACACCACTATGCCCAGCTAATTTTTGTATTTTTTGTAGAGACGGGGTTTTGCCATGTTGCCCAGGCTCTTCTCGATCTCCTGAGCTCAAGTGATCCACCCAAAGTGTTGGGATTACAGGTGTGAGCTACAGTACCCAAGCAAAATATTTCCTTTTCTTTTTTTTTTTTGAGACGGAGTCTCGCTCTGTCGCCCAGGCTGGAGTGCAGTGGCCGGATCTCAGCTCACTGCAAGCTCCGCCTCCCAGGTTTACACCATTCTCCTGCCTCAGCCTCCCGAGTAGCTGGGACTACAGGCGCCCGCCACCTTGCCCGGCTAATTTTTTTGTATTTTTTTTAGTAGAGACGGGGTTTCACCGTGCTAGCCAGGATGGTCTCGATCTCCTGACCTCGTGATCTGCCCGTCTCGGCCTCCCAAAGTGCTGGGATTACAGGCTTGAGCCACCGCGCCTGGCCAATATTTCCTTTTCTTAGGAAGGATTATTTCTTCCCACTATTTTACTACAAAGAATTGTACACTTCTAAGCATTCATATAACATTATATAACTTTAAATGATTGCTCAAGAGGTAAAGTTATATATATCTTGAAAACATTTTTCTATGAATTTATGTTAAAGTATCTTCCCTTAAAGAAAAAAGGTAACAGAAAATAAATCTTATGATGCTCTTAGAAAAATACTATAATCAACTATATCTGACCAATCAGAACATGTAGGAAGCACTTAGATCTGAAAGCCCATCTATATTGTCTATAAGTTATGCAGACATCACATTTTCAGTTGATGTGATGCCCCATTACTCAAGAGATCAACAGATGGCATAAAACACGTATACATTCTAAGACCGTAATTATTTTTAAAAACTTCGTGTCACACATGTTCTTAGATATACAAACCACTGGCTAAAAATGTAATCTATTCAATGCCTACAAATTATGTTACTCTCGTTGAATAAAATCTTTCAACATCTATAAATTTTGACTCTCAAGAAGCCAATATTAATAGACCTCACTCAACTAACCTTCTAGTCCATAATTTTAGATAGCTTCTACTACTTTTCTGTTCATACTAACTTCCTCCTAATGAGCTAACTACTCTATCAAGCCTGCCTGCCACTTTTACACAAAAAGCTCAAATTCTTTCCTTTATTTAGGGGAGGGAGACAATATGAGTGAAAAATATGAATAAAGTACCTATTACAGGCAAGAAACTGTCAAAATTGATTTTAAAAGCACCTCAACTTTTGTGAGCAAGGAGACAGAAATATAATACCTTGGGCCGGGTGCAGTGGTTCAAGCCTGTAATCCCAGCACTTTGGGAGGCCAAGGTGGGTGATCACTTGAGGTCAGGTGCTTGAGATCAGTCTGGCCAACATGATGAAACCCTGTCTCTACTAAAAATACAAAAATTAGCTGGGCATGGTGGCGCGTGCCTGTAATCCCAGCTACTTGGGAGGCTGAGGCAGGAGAATAGCTTGAATCTGGGAGGCAGAGGTTGCAGTGAGCCGAGATCACGCCACTGCACTCCAGCCTGGATGACAGAGGGAGACTCCGCCTCAAAAAAAAAAAAAAGAAATATAATACCTTGTATTATAATTCTAACTCCATATATTTGGGGGATGAGGTGTTCTGGATAATCAAACATATTGGTTGATTAAAAATTATCATTCATATCAGATACAGATGTACCAATAATTAGAGTGTGATAAAATATGCTTTAACAAAGCTACCTGGACCAGAATCTTCCTGTGATGACCCAGAACACCTCTAAGGGTTGTGTGTCCATGGCAGGGTTTTTCAATCTGTGATTCTTGGAGAAAGCTCTACAGCTCTGCACGTGTATCTTAGAGGTAAAGGTTCTGGCTTAAAGGGAGGGTTTGCAGTCTTGCCTGTCTCCCCACCTAGAGCCACTCCACCTGCATCTGTTTTATGTATTTGTGTTTCCATGTAATATTTGGAAAAGGATTCTACTGGTAAAAAAAAAAAAAAAAAAAATTGAAAATCAAGTCCTAAGGAAAGGGGTCATCAATAAATTGATTACAGTTAACTACAAATGTCCAGAAATACTAGTTTATAGCTACCATTTGAAATCATATTACAAAACAGCTCTTGATTTACTAACACTAAAACATTATGTCCAAAGCATAAAACCAAAGCTGGAATTAAATGGAAAACAACACTCAATACCTTGAAAGGTCTTACTCTCGTGTTTCGGCGATTTCCCTCAACCTGAAATGGTTTGTGAGTAATTATGTCTTTTCTCTGCGTAGTATAATTCTGCATGGAAAAAAAGTAGTGGTGTGGGTTAATAGACTTTAAAGTTTATTTTAAAAGCTTGTTTACCATTAGAAAACACATTTTAAATGTACAGGATTAAGAACACAAAGCAGGGAGCAGGGAGCTTAGCCGTAGAGCACATACACATCTCCTCCTTGACCCATGCTAACTTGACCCTCGACCTTGACTACCATGATCCATGCCAGTTTGTGAGGAGCCAGGATCATTTATGCCTGTAACAAGTATAAAACATACTCATGTATAACATAATGAGTGAGTTTGAGAAAATCGAGGATATATCTAGCATTTATTCAGGCACCTAGGAGAGAAATGAACCCATTACTATCAGGAGTTGCTAAAGGGTTCCTACTGCCTAAGAAGAATACAAATCCTCAACATTGCAGGAGGCAGGTATTCCTGACTCAGGTAACTGATTTGAGGTGATGCTCTTGCCATGGCTAGAAAAGTATCAGAAATAAGAGAAAGAACTACATTAGTAAGTCTATAACTATGAGGAACCAAAATCCTCTGGTGGAAACAGAATAGATTACATTTTTAGCCGGTGGAAACAGAAAAGATGGGGCCCATTCTCAAGATGGTTTCCTTTTTCTAAAATCAACAGTCTTATCACCTTCTATTATTTCCACTTTCTGTGGAGTCTGGCCAGAGGAAGGACTGTACTAGGCAACTGCTGACATGGCTCCCAGTGATCCAACCAATTATTCCTCCCTTTGAATGTGGGCAGGACCTAGGAAGCTGCTTCTTGCAAAAAGAATATGGTAAAGGATGAGATTTTACTTGTGAAATTAGGTTACCAACTCTGGCTTCCATCTTTCTCACCATTACTTGCCTGTTCTTATGGAAGCTAGCTGCCATTTTGTGAGCTGCTCTATATAAAGGCAAATCTTCAAGACAGAAAGTAGATTAGTGTTGGCTGGGGGTGGCAAAGGGGAGTAACGAAACAGGCATGAGGGCTCATACTGGGTAATGAAAACATTCTAAAAGTGGACTACGGTAATGGTTGCACGCTTTGGTTAATTTACTAAAAATCATTAAATTGTACACCTAAAATGGGTGAATTTTATGGTATGTAAATTATGCCTTAATAAATATGTTCCAAGAGAGCTTAAGAGTTGTTCCCAAAAAATCTTTTTTGAAATTTTTTTATAATTATTACTATTTTTTGTAGAGATGAGGTCTAGCCACGTTGCCCAGGCTGGTCTTGAACTCCTGGGCCCAAGAAATCCTCCTGCCTTGGCCTCCCAAAGTGCTAGGATTACAAGCATGAGCCACTGCACCTGGCCCCCCAGAAAATCTTAAGAAAGCTAGATTTATTAGCTTTATTTAATGAATCCAATAAAATGCTACTAAATCAAGCAAGAAATGACCATTTCTTCTGTCATAATAACTTTACGTATCAACGGAATCTTATAACATATACTTAATGAACAGTTACAAACGTGAAAAATATTGGTGATCCCTGTACATTCCGATGTATTGGAGAAGAAGAAATTATAAAAATGAAAATTTTAGAACTGTGATCTTACCATGTAAGGTTTTTCAATACATTTTTTAAAATTTGATTTTATAAAATGCATGGGTTTTTGGAATCCATCAGTATGAACATTCTTTACCTTTGAAAAACTGGAACTCTGATCTTCCCTAATAAGGAAAGAGAGAAAATAAGAATATTTTATTAGTATAATATTTTTTCCAACAAATAAACAAGAATAATTTTAAAAAGCCCCTTCAGAAACAATTAAAGTAGCACACAAATTAAATCTCAATGATCTATCACTACTAAAATTACAAATGATAGTCATTAGGCCTAAACCCGTCATTTTGCCTCATTTTCCAACAAATGTTATTTACCTAAGTTGGAGGTTAGCAATGGGGAAAAACATTCCTTGAACCAGGGTTCTCAATCTGGGGTCTAAGGATAGGCTTCCTGGGGGCTGTAACCCCCGAAACCATATGTGAAATGTGTGTTTTGTGTAAAGATAACTACTGCTCTAGAACCTCTGGCAGCACTGCCCCCCTCCCCTTCTTGCTAACAGGCTCTTACTGGTGGAAGCACCAAGGGCTCATGACCCAGCCCATTCATCAGAGGCAAGGTGTATGACTGGCTCAGGGTCCCCTCACTGGCAGAGCTGAGGCCTCTGATACTGCAGGGCCACAGCAGGGAACGACAGCCGCCTCTCTCCCGTCATCATGGGGTCCTGAGGCCACAAAGGGCTCTTCTCAGGCAGCCCTATCTGGGAGGGAGGTCCTTCCCTGGACTCTTCCTCTGATCTCCAAAGCCTCATTTCCACAGCCCTTGGGGGTTCCTCTCCGTGTCACACCCTGCATCTCTCCACAATGCTTCTCAGCCCCTTCCTGTGTCTTCCACAGGCCCACCTTCAGTCTTTCCCATGGATTCCCCACTGGCAACAAGATAACTTCCACACTCTTCATCGTGACCCCATGGCCCTTTCTGCTCTGGCCCTTGCTACCTTGCTCCAATCTCCCCAACAAGCACACTGAGCCTTAGGATTTTTGTTTGTTTGTTTTTGAGACAGAGTCTTGCTCTGTCGCCTAGGCTGGAGTGCAGTGGCGCAATCTTGGCTTACTGCAAACTCCACCTCCTAAGTTCAAGCAATTCTCCTGCCTCAGCCTCCCGAGTAGTTAGGATTACAGGCACGTGCCATCATGCCCCGCTAATTTTTTTTATTTTTAGTAGAGACGGGGTTTCACCATGTTGACCAGGCTGGTCTTGAACTCCTGACCTCAAGTGATCCATCCACCTCGGCCTCCCAAAGTGCTGGGATTACAGGCGTGAGCCACCGCGCCCAGCCGGGAATATTGAAGCTCATGTGGTTCCCGGCACCCAGCAATCTCTCCTGCTTCTACACCTTTGCATGTGCAGTTCCTTCTGTGACCATTTCCTTCTACTTTGATTAACTTAAAGATTTAGATCCATTTATACCTCTTCAAGGAAGTTTCCTAAACCCTTCTGAGGTGAACTAGGTGCTCCCTGGTATGTGCACATGTAGCATTTTTCAGTCTTAACACCTATCACTCCGTATTTGTAACTACTGGTGTACCTGTCTGTTTAACAGAACAAGTTGCTATTCCTTCAGAGGAAGCACTGCGGATGATTCATTTTGTGGTCCCAGTTCTGATCCCAGAATCTGACATGAAATAGACACTCAGGGTTTTTTTAAATGTTAAAAAGGCCTATGTTTTGTCAAAACGCTGACGACAATAGGTCAAAAGAGTAAAGTGCAAAGCTGTATATTGAGGATAATTTCAACTATTTAAAATATACACATATGTGCCCAGAAAAAAATAAATGACAAGAAATGTACTAAATATTAACAGTGGTCATCTCTGACTGGTAAAATCAGGAATGCCTTATATTTTTGATTTTATACTTTATTATATTTTTCCAAATGATTACCATTAGTGTATATGACTACTTCTACAAACAAAGCAATGGATTTTTAAAAATTCTCTTTGCAAAGCATATATCTGAAAAGGGAGCTATATCCAGAATATACAAAGAACTCCTACACCTCAACAATAAAAAGACTTTGATTTTAAAATAGGCAAAGGATTTGAATAGAAATTTCTCCAAAAACATACCAATGGCCAATAAGCACATGGAAAGATGCTCAACATCATTAGTCATCAGAGAAATGCAAATTAAAACTACAATGAGATACCACTTTACACTAACTAGGATGGCTATAACCAAAAAGATGACAATACCAATGTTCATAACAGCACTATTTACAATAGCCAAAGGGTGAAAGCAATACAAATGTCCACAAACAGAAAAACAGATAAACAAAATGTAGTACAGCCATACAATGGAGTATTATTCAGCCTTAAAAGAGAATAAATTTTTTTAAAAAAGGAATGAAATTCTGACACATGATACAACATGGATTGACCCTGAAAACACTATGCTAAGTGAAAGAAGCCAGAGAGAAAAGGACAAATATTGTCTGACTCTACTTAGATACCCACAATAGGCAAATTCATATAGACAGAAAGAATAGAGGTTACCAGGGGCTGCGGCGAGGAGAGCATGAGGAGTTATTATTCAACGGAAACAGAGTTACTGTTTGTGAAGATGAAAAAGTTCTGGAAGTGGATACAAACATCTGGTGATGATTGTACCAGTGAATATACTCAATATCAATGAATTTTACACTTAAAATGGTTAAAATGGTAAATTTAGGATATGTATATTTTGTCACAATACAAAAACTAAATCCTTTGATATTTGATTTTTGACCAGGCAAATGAATGCTCAGATTAGAGAATCTATTTCCCAGCTGCCCTGCAGCTAGGCATGGCCATGGGACTAAATTTTGGACAAGTTATCATGTGTAAATTTCAAGAAGTCTTTAAAGGAAAGGCTAGAATGAGGACATGATGGCTAAAGCACAGATACCCATATTGGATCATGAGGCAGACGCTACACACAGAGGATATGAGAGGAAGAAGATCTAAGCAGCCTGGTTCCCTGATGCGTCCACTCTACCATGTCGACCCTATCATGTAGATTTCCTACCTCTAATCTTTTTTTATTACTTAAGAAGGAAATACTTTTTTTCTCTAGCTCTTACAGTCCATTCTCCACCCAGCAACCAGAGTGATCCTTTTAAAATTTAAGTGAGATTATGTCTCTTCTCTGGTTACAACCCAAAATGTTTTCTAACTTCATCCAGAATAAAATACAAAGTCTTCATGTCCTTCAGTTCTTCAAAGTCGTTTGTGACTGGCCTCATCTACTAACTCTCTCCCTTTACTACCCTGTCACAACCCCACTGTCCCCCTTTCTATTCCTTAAACAAAAGCAGGCATGCACCTGTCTTAAGGTCTTTGCTTTTGCTGTTCCCTCCCTTGAAATACTATCCTCTCAAATAACCCTATGGCTAACTCCCTCACTTAATTCACTACCCAGCTACATTTTTTAAAAAGTCATAAGTGTACTCCATGATCACCCTAAATAAAACCGTATCACACATGTCACTCTTTGCTATTAAATTTCCTCTTCTGCCTTATTTTCACCTATCACTCCACTGACATGTATTTATTTTCTTTCTTCTACCATTAAATTATAAGTAACATGAAGACAAAGGTTTGTATATAGTTTTTCATTATATCCCCAGTCCTTAGAACAGTAACTAGAAGAAATCAATATATAAATACCTGTTGACTATATGAATATAACATCTTTATAAAGTGTACTCTACTTCAGTATAGATTATGACTGTTGCAATAGCAAGAATAAAAACTGATGTTTTCCCGTAACCTGCCCAGCTTAAACGACAGACTGTCCTTCCAACTCCTTGTTAAAAAATAAAAAATAAAAGAAATTCTTGGCAGTTTGATGTCCTCTTCAAGTCCACTGATACTATTTTTAAGCTACTTTATCAAACACACTCCATACTTCTATAATAAAACAACTCATTTACATTGTAGGAAACTTAGTAACTACAGTTAGAAAAGGCAGAAATAGTATGTCAGGAGAAAACATGGAGACATTAGAGTAAGAAACGGGTAAGAAATGGAAGCAAATCCAGACCATCCTCAACTTACAATGGTTTGACTTACAATTATTTTACTTTACAGTGGGTTATCGGGATGTTGTCCTATCATAAGTTAAGGAACACCTGTAGAGAACAGATGGGTCCTAGAGGCTAGACAGAATCCCCAAGTGTTAGACTTGCTTGTGAAAGATCCTAAGGTATCAGGGAATAGTAACCTAAATCTAAATGCATTACAATTTAGGTATCCTCTGTCTTGTCTACTCCTTTGGAAACTCTTCATCCATTCATTCAACAAACATGAACTGAGCTCAGGGCAGTGGGGATACACCAGTGAGCAAACACAGACAAAGAGGCTGCATACAATTTTTTGAGGAAAAACTGCACAGGTGAGAAATCACTACATCCTTTGACTTATGATCGCATCATGTTTCATTTCTTTCACATTTCTGTGGAAACTACCCTGACTTGATATTAAAAGTTTATATAAAAACATAATATATAATGAGGTCAATTTTTATAAATTGAATTTCTAAGATAAAATGATAAAATATTTTTCTTATTTAAATAAAGAAATTGAATCAGGATAAAGTGAGAGATTAATAATAAGAGTTGGCGACGATATGGAGCAACTGGGCCCGTCACATGCTGCTGGTGGAAGTGTAAAGTAGTCCAGCCACTTTGGTTTTGTTTTTGTTTTTGTTTTTTTTTGAGACGGAGTCTCACTGTGCCTCCCAGGCTGGAGTGCAGTGGCCGGATCTCAGCTCACTGCAAGCTCCGCCTCCCGGGTTCACGCCATTCTCCTGCCTCAGCCTCCCGAGTAGCTGGGACTACAGGCGCCCGCCACCTCGCCCGGCTAGTTTTTTGTACTTTTTAGTAGAGACGGGGTTTCACCGTATTAACCAGGATGGTCTCGATCTCCTGACCTCGTGATCCGCCCGTCTCAGCCTCCCAAAGTGCTGGGATTACAGGCTTGAGCCACCGCGCCCAGCCGGTCCAGCCACTTTGGAAGACAGTCTGGCAGTTCCTCAAAAAGTTAATCATAGAGTAACCATCAAACTCATCAATTCCACTCCTAGCCATATATTGAAGAGAAATGAAAACAGGTATCTCCACAAAAACTTGCACACAAATGTTCACAGCACAGTTATTCACAATAGACAAAAAGTGGAAACAACCCAAATGTCCATCAACTGGTGAATGGATCAACATAATACGACACAGCCATACAATGGAATATTATTCAGCCATACATAAGAATTCTCACGCTACAACATGGATGAGCATTAAAAACATTATGCTATAGGAAAGAAGTCAGTTATGAGAGGCCACATATTCTATTATCGTATTTATATGAAATGTCAGGCCAGGTGTGGTGGCTCATGCCTGTACTCTCAGCACTTTGGGAGACTGAGGCGGGTGGATCCCTTGAGTGCAGGAGTTTGAGACCAGCCTGGGCAACATGGTGAAACCCCATCTCTACAAAAAAAAAAAAAAAAAAAAAGAAAAAGAAAAATCAGCCGGGCATGCTGGCAGGAGCCTGTGGTCCCAGATGCTCGGGAGGCCGAGGTGGGAGAATCACCTGAGCCTCACGGAAGGTCGAGGCTGCAGTGAGCTGTGATCATGCCTCTGTACTCCATCCTGGGTGACAGAGACCCTGTCTCAAAACAACAACAACAACAAAATGATTATATGAAATGTCAGGATTAGACAAAGCCATAGATACAGAAAATAGAACAGTGGTTGCCAGGGACTAAGGGGGAAGGAGAAATGGGGCAGGGAGTGGCAGCTAATGGGTAGAGGGTTTACTTTTGGGGTGATGAAGTGTTTTGGAATTAGATAGTAATGACGGTTGCATAAGTTCGTGAATACACTAAAAACTACTGAGTTGTTTGCTTTTGCAGGATGAATGTTAAGTAATGTCTCACTTTTCAAAACTCCTCATGGCTCCACTCTGCCTCACCACCTATCCGATACAAATAAAATAATCCAACAGATCCAGCAAAAGGCAGCTTGTAGGAACACATCCTTGCACACTATCACACTGTCCTCAAAGCTAGCATTCATAGTACTTAATGCTGACCAGCTACTTTACCTTATACTCATCACTTTACTTAATTTTAATCACCACTGTGAGGCAAGTACAACTCTTATCCCTATTTTACAGACGAGGAAACAGAGACAAAATAATCTGCCCAAAGTCGGTCACATAGCTAGGAATCTAAGAGCCAGGCACTGAACTCACATCCAACTCCAGTGCTCAAGTTCTTAATCACGTCAAGGGGTAAATATACATCCTAAAGCATCTTACAATCTTTAAAATATGTTGATTGTCTTAAATCTGTTTTTAAAACCTGTTTCTTGGTACTCGGGGTTTCTTATACTTGTTGAGTCAAGGAAAGCATGACAGAGAGCTTGTGTCATTAAGGAGCACAGTCATGTCAGGCATTAACCATTAGGAGACTGGAGACTTTCACACAGCAAGGGACAACATTTTAACTCTTTCATTTTCAATTGTTTTATATGCCTCAACACATCGTTTCACCATGTTTTAATTAGTCCTGAACTTATTGTCAGAATCAAGTCCACGTATTCTAACCTAGTTAGCTACAGACTTGACTTAAAGGTCTTGTCAAATACAGTATCTTACCAATTTGATACAAAAGATTACGGAAAAACAATTAGCACTGTCTCTTTGTATTCATACAGTCTCACTTTTTGGGAGATCCAAGTAGCGTAAGAACTCAAGTGAAGTGGAAATGCTGTCCTGTTCAATTATACCTCATAATCATATGGGGCCCCAGAGTTGCCATGAGTTCCATCCACGTGGTATTCAGAACTAGAGATAAACTGGGGTTGATCTAGACTACTGAGGCCCCCTAAACAGAAGTATGAGGTTAAGAAAGAAAAATCAGGCCGGGCGCGGTGGCTCAAGCCTGTAATCCCAGCACTTTGGGAGGCCGAGACGGGTGGATCACAATGTCAGGAGATCGAGACCATCCTGGCTAACCCGGTGAAACCCCGTCTCTACTAAAAAATACAAAAAACTAGCCGGGCGAGGTGGCGGGCGCCTGTAATC